TTCGTCATGATAATCAAAACCTAGTCACGATTTTCATAATTTTTCATAATATCACGATTTCTCGAATAAATCGATCATCAAACTTTAAAAAAAAAAAAAACGCAATTCTTCACATACCCACCTGACATTAGTCATTCCAACTCGAAAATCCGTCTCAAATCGAATAAATTACATCAAATTGAATACATGTTATGATAAACAACACTATAACAAATCAAAGCCCTATAATATTAACACATTATTATCAAAAAATTGAATAAAATCGATTGAATGGGGAACAAAAAAAATGTAGTTCTTCACTGACCCACCTAAAATAAGTCATTCCATCTCAAAAATCCACCTCAAATCGAATAAATTACATCAAATTGAATATATGTTATGATAAACAACACTATAAGGAATCAAAGCCCTATAATATTAGTACATTATTTGCAAAATATTGAATAACATCGATTGAATGGCGGAAAAAAAAAAAAATGCAGTTCTTCATGGACCCACCTGACATTAGTCATTCCAACTCAAAAATCCGCCTCAAATCGAATAAATTACACCAAATTGAATATATTTTATGATAAACAACACTATAAGGAATCAAAACCCTATAATATTAACACATTATTTGCAAAAAAAAGTGACTAAAATCGATTGAATGACGGGAAAAAAAACCCAGTTCTTCACAGACCCACTGACATAAGTCATTCCAACATGGAAGTCCACCTCAAATCGAATAAATTTCATCAAATTGAATATATGTTATGATAAAAAACACTATAAGGAATCAACACCCTATAATATTAACACATTATTTGCAAACAATTGACTAAAATGGATTGAATATCGAAAAAAAAAAAAAAATGCAGTTCTTACCTATTTTTCTGCGCCTGTGGCTTTAAATCCAAATCTGAGATGTAATGGACCAAAATACTCACAAATTATGAATAAGAACTTCTAAATAACACTCTTAATATCAATAACCCTCAGATTTTATAAAAAATGATACCCAATTTTGTGAGAAATCAGAGAAATGGTGGAACCCTAACACTGACGCCTTGTTCTTCACAGATCTGCCGATTTGTGATCAAAATTGTTGATTTAAACTACAATTTATTGATTGAAAAGGCTGAAAATCTTAAAGAAAAAGCTGAAAGATTCGATTACAAAGTTGAAAAAGCAAAAAAATGACAAAAATCGATGTTTCCCGTGATGAATATATTGTTCACCCGTATTTCACTGTTGTGAATCGACGATTTACTATTGGGAATTGCCCGGTTCTCTCTAGACACGGGCGATTCCCCGTGTATTGCTAAAACTGGCACGCCCTTGCCGGTTCTCGAGTCGAATCAGGTGAGTCCGATTCGACTCGCCGAGTTTTGAAACACTGCTTGCAATGTATGAAGATCAACTTTTGGACAATGAACAAGTCCGTGAATTATGACCCACTTTCTTGCAAATATTGCAAGTAATAGGCTTTCGAGATTTCTTCTCTACTTTATGTCTTGCAATTGAAGGGCGGTCCTTGTCTTTGTGAGCAATGGGTTTCGCAATATTTCATTCCATGGCAAAGAATCTTGGCTTCCGTCACTTGTTATCATGGCTTTTCTGCCATAACTTTTGTTATCCCTAGGACAAACTTGTGTCGTTGTCATTTCAATACTTTTCGAGCTCTTTGTCGCAATTCTTGAAATCCTATCAACACTAGATCAAAAACATGTGCAAATTTTGCCCCAAACTCTACAATGTCAATTACTACACGACATAATAGTTGCATCATAAAAACCGCGAGTCAATGGAATTTCCCGTCACTCATTTTTGCTCATCTAATAAAGCCCCTTTCTTGGCATTCCATGTCCAATGTCTCAAAATGTATTTTGGGGTAGGATTTATTGAACGTGTTCATGATGAAAAAAGGCTAACATATGTCCACAGAGGTTCCCAAAAAACTAAAACAATTTACACTTACAAAGTTGCTATAGTTTTAGTGGCATCATATTGAACTATATATTCTTAGCTATTTTCTCTATATGCTGCTGTTGAGTGTACTTTTTAGTCACTTATGAGACTAGGTGCATTCTGACAGGTGCTTGATAAGGTTGAAGATGTGGTTATAAAGCAAATTCTTTGATAGATGCCAGATAAACAATTGCGCTAATTTATTTTATTTATTTATAATTGACTTAATTGTTTTTGTTATTACATGCATACCTTTTTTTTCACAATTTTTTTTAAATGACTGAATTTGATCTTCAAGATCAAAGATTATACGTTCTCTAATTTTTTTTTATTTTTACTTTTTAGATATTCAAAATCTGTGAAAAAAAAATTTAAGTTTTTCTTCTTTTCGAACATTAAAAATCCAAAATTTCAGATTTTTAATATCTAAAATATTGGACGGCCAACATAATAACAACTTTTTCGATCTTAAACAAAATTATTTGGATCTAGTTATTTTTTAAATTTTTGTATATTAATAATACGAAAAATCTGATATTTAGGTTTTACATATTTTCAGATACTGAAAATCCTTAAAATTCTGATTTTGGCTATCCGAAATATTGCCAGGTGATTATACAACTTTTTGGATTTTTAAAATCCAAAACTTATTTGCCATGAAATGTTCCTAATTACAAAATAATTTAGTAAATTTTAGACCTTCAAGATCATAAATTTCAGATTTTTGGATTTTGAGCTTCTAAATTTTTTAACATAACTAATTTCACATAATATTTAATTTTGTATATTCAACATCTGAAATATGTGTACTTTAGTGATTTTATTTTATTTTGTGAAAATAGGTACAAAATTAATAATAGAAAAAAATAATATCTCTCGATGTAAAAAAGAATATAATTTTCATCCTATTTATATTACACACTTATTTATCAAGTTCAATTTCAATTTCTAAAGAAAAAGTACTCCAAAAGGCTTTAACTCGAGAGACCACATGGGTAAAGGGAAAGGTTTCTATGCTTTCCCTACAACATAGAAGTTATGTCCTCCCCCTACCATCCAGCGGTCCAATTTTGATCAAGAGAGCCACTCAACGTTTGATCTATGATTCGACGTCTCAAAGTATTTTATTTTTAGTTTTTTTATACAAATTGTATGAATATGAAATTTGGTACGTGCTATCTTCTCATTGGGGCGCACCTATAAAAAATATTAAAAATAAATTTTCAATAAAATATAATGACCAAAATACCCTATAAAAATTTAGGGGGGCATTTTGGTCATTTTATTTTATTGAAAATATTTTTTTTATATATTTTTCTAGTGCGAGTTTAATAGAGAAATGGATGTCCAAAATTTGGTGTCAAAATAGTTTATAAAAAAAACTTAAAAAAATAATAATGTAGAGACGTGACATTGTGATTGGGACAATCTTAGCCCTCAATTCAAAATAAACGATTGGATAAGGGGAAGGATAAAACTTCTATGCTGTAGGGGAAGCATAGAAAGCTGGCCCATAGGTAAAAAGCATGTTTTACGTGCACGGAAGGAATTGGTTGTAAATTAGTATTTCAATTATTTTCTTTTTAAATTTATCTTAAGTAAGGACCATTAAAATAACATAGTAGTGGCGGACATTTATCTTGGCAAACTTTTCGGCACGCGATAAAAGGGATTGGGCACCGGGAAGTTGAAGATCGCGTTGTGCCCCTGCAATACCTAAATGTGCACATATTCCCTTAGGTGGAAATTTATGGGAATATTTGATGATCATGAAATTCGAGCTACAATTAAAAATCACGAGTAATTTTTTTTAAAAATCAATTTATTATTAAAAGTAATTCTTCACCCGAGGATCATAAACCTAAGAGACAAAAATTTTCGACCAAGCCAATTTAGATTATAATATATTATATTATATTTTATACTCTATTATAATATTTTATCATATAATATATTATAATATATTATGCTATTATGTTAATCTATATTATATATTTTATTATTGTAATATTACAATACATTTCCCATAATTTTCCGTCATGAACAAGAGGACAAAAGTAATACAAGAAGTCGCATATATGTGCAATGTGATTCTGCAGGAGTACACTACCAATTTGATCCCTCAAGAAAACAAAAGAAGGCAACATCGCAAATCCTCGTCCGGATAGTACTTTTGGTAACAGAATTCTCTACAAGGACTTTAAAATTAGTTTTTACACTGACAATAAATTTTGGAACTAAAAAAATGGTACTGATGATTTGTGAACAAAATAGAGTTTAAAATCTTAAATTTTCACAACATACAGTCTAGATGATTTAATACAATATACTAAATTTTTAGAGCTTAAAATCTTAATTTTTTTACGATCATAATATTTATGTCGAGATGATCGATATAAAAGTTTTTCAAAACTTGCAATTTTTGACAAGTTAAAAATTGAAGATTTACTTATTTTGAGAGGATCCAGCCATGTCAAACCATTTTTCCTAAAAAGAAATAGTTGTCCCATATTTTTAAATATATATTAAATATTTATTTTAGAGGTGATTACATGAACCAGCAGGCCCATATATAAAAAAAAAAAAGCCTGACGAGGTTCTCTCACCGAAATTCAACCTGTATTTATGGAGGAAGCAAAGTTTTGGTAAACCTTTGGGCATGTACTGTGCAATTAGTCCCTGTAATGATCGATCGGTATGAAAGGACTCGGATTTATCTCTATCAAATTTTTAGTAAGTTAAGTGTGAAATTAATTTTCATAACAAATTACGCATATAATACACATAAGTTCACCATAATACTGCAAACCTGAGGTCCACCTGTAATAAATATAGTTTAAACCTTAAAAACCCATTCCCGCTAAGTGGGGCATTTGACTCGTGTCCAACTCTACTCCACCACAACAAAAACAGAGACGAAATACCGTAAAAAAACCCCAGCTAATACCAATAATTTAACAATCTTTTCCCATAATTCCTCTTTCTTTCTTCTTATTATTTACCTTCTCAGCCGGCATTGCTCTCTCTCTAGATTATAACTCAGTCACCATTGCTATTACCTTATGGAACCATTGACCATCAACTTTTCAATTCAAACCGTGTTCACACGGTGGACTCAACCATGCGATGCTTCTGCCGTTTTTTATGGCTCACCAATATTTACCCCTTCTGTAAGAATTGATCCGCCCATCAATAAAATAGTGGAACTAGTCAACCATCAACAACACATGGACCACTCCCCCAGCGCAGAACACACAGCAAAACCCTGGGGATTGTTGCATAGACAAATTTCATGCGTCAGGTGGTGGTAAGTAAAGGGACTCAATGTCAAAATTGAATTTTTTTTTTTGGGATAAAAGATTAAAATCAAGGATTTTGTGAAGAGTTTTAATGCGGGGTGAGGGGAAATAGCGGGACCCAAAATCGTAATCAAGGGTTTTGTGAGGAATTTTGATGCGGAAAGAGGAAAGTAAAGTGACCCAAGATAAAAAACCCAGGTTTTTATGAAGAAATTTGATTCTGAAAAATGATTGAGTACTAAGAAAACAACCAAGTTTTCATAGAGATATTTGATATGGAAAGAGAAAATTATGGCCGCCAAATATCAAATTCAAGAATTTCGTGAAGAGATTTGACGTGGAAAGGGGGAAGTCAGTGATCCAAGATCAAAACCGGCCATTTCATGAAGAATTTGATGTTAGGAGAGGAAAGAACAGAGACCCAAGATCAAAACCCACCATTTTATTAGGAAAGTTTTGATGCAAAAAGTGAAGGGCTTCTCCTGAAGTCTCAATCTATTGTTTTTGATATTTGATTATTTGCTAGGAAATGGGCATGAACAGCTTCTGTGAATTGGGCCTTCTGTTAGCTTTACTGTGTTCATTTTGTTGGGTTACAACAGTTGCTCAGTGCAAGACTGGTTGCGATTTGGCCTTTGGTTCTTACTACATAACACAGGGCCAGATCTTCGGCAACATTTCCGTCCTTTTCGATGGAATCTCCTTTGTTGATATCCAGCAATACAATCCTGAAGCCTCCAGTCAAGACAGCATTCTGTTTGATACAAGGCTCAACATAACCTTCACTTGTGACTGCAACGATGGGATTTTAGGGCACACTTTTCGTTATCCATTGAAGCGAGGGGATACATACAACGGGGTTGCGAGGACTTATGCCAACCTAACTGATGTGACTTGGTTGCAGGCTGTGAACTCTTACGCTCCAACTGAGATCCCTGATAATGGCTCCCTCAATGTCACTGTGAATTGCTCTTGTGGAGATGCTGATATTTCGAGGGATTATGGGCTATTCTTGACTTACCCTCTCCGCCAGGGCGAGAACCTCTCTGGCCTTGCCTCTGCGTTTAACATCTCATCCTCATTGTTGCAACGGTACAATCCCAATGCCAACTACAATTCAGGCCGGCACCTCGTATTTATTCCTTTTAAAGGTACTTTTTTTTATGATTTCTTATTGTATTATTTTCTGGGACTTTATGAGTTTAATATCATCTACTTTGTCATGGCGTATTTTTTTTTCTTTTTATTATCATGGTAGAGCCATTTGAATGTTTTGTTTTGTGGACAAACACCAGCTTAATAACCGTAGATCAATAAGCCTACATGCTGGTTCGGTGTTTCCACATTTATTTTCTATGGAATTTGGGTTTGGATAGTATGAGCCTAAGGTTGGCCCAAATTGTAGAAGAGAATTCAGTTTATGTGATTTGAATTTTCCCTCTGTTTGATTGATTTTATATTACAACATCCCCAAATTGGAAGCTAGGTTAGCCATTTTCTGAGGAGTCACCTTCTTGCAGCTTGAAAATTTCTGTTAGTAATGCTAAATGAATTTTAAAACCGTATTGTTTTGTAGCCCATTCACCCGTAGTTATACTGCCATCATATCGACGATTCTAACCGGTTATCATCTTCTTCCTCCATAACCATCAAAGAGTTGGCACTTTATAATAGTACAAGACATTGCAAGTTACCCGGCAGGGATGTTTCCATCCCTGTTAATTGCATATCCTCATTAGAACATAATTTATAATAACTTTTTACAGAATCCAGTAATGATGTGCAAATTGCTCCCTGACTTACTTCTATGATGTGCAAATTCCTGCCTGACTTACTTCTATTAGTGATATCATGAGACATGAACAGTTCCTACATCTGAGTGTGGTAGCATGAATCCCTTATTTCCTCTGGGTGGGTTAGCTGTGGGATTTGAACCTGGGATGTAGTGCGAGCACAAATATTGCATAGGGAAAATTTAATTGTCTTGCTTTGAACTTTATGCTTGAAATTCTGAAGTTCTGCTCTTACATGATGGATTTGATATAATTATTTCAGATTCAAGTGGCAGTTATCGCCCCTTGCAATTAAGGTAAAGCTTCAGCAGAGAGATATGCTTGGCTGTTCATTCAAATGTTGCTTTCTATTAGTCTGGTCCTTTATTTAAAGTTGGCTAACTTTGGACCTTTTTCTTTTATTGCAGCAATGGAGGTATGGAACCCTGAACTTGATACTGTTTGCAACTTTGGAGTCATAGTTTTCATTATTTACATGCATGTCTATAAAACATGACTCAGATATTATTTATACCCAACATTCTGGTAACTTTGTGATGTCTTTGAGTTTCTCACTGTCCCTAACAACTGAACTCTAGCAGGAATTCCTGCGGGAGCTGTTGTTGGAATTGTTGTTGCAGGAATAGCAGCTATGTCAATTTTGGTAATTTGCTATTTTATGGTTTACAAGAGAAAGAAAACAAAGGCGTCGTTACTTTCATCACCATTTGAAGATGCCCCTATTAATGACTCACCATATCCAGGTAGTTTGTAGGTTTGAGTGTTCCTATGGTGATTGGCTTTTATCTGGAATATATTTTTATAGAGCATGTTATCATAACTCAGTGGCTGTTGCTTTTTATGCATGCATCTTCTGCTCACAATATTAGATGCTTGCTTTTAGGGTATCGGGTACTCATTGCAAATCTGTCCCGTACTTACAGCTGTTATCTTAGAGTTCTTCATTATCTCATTAACCAAAATACTGGACCTCCATTTCTCATGGTCAGGGTGATGCATTCTTTATTGCTTGAAGAGTTAGGCTTCCTCCTAACATTATTCGCCATTCTATACTTGCTAGAAGAAAAGGAACCCATGGTTCACCAGATGCCTGCAGATAATTGTCCAAAACAAGGCCATTTGAGTGTGAAGTGGTTGAGCACTTAGATCAGTATTTCTTGCTTGTAGCTTAACTTGCATAGAAACCTGATTGTAATAAAACTAAATTTTGGGGTTTTTTCATTTAACTACGTATGATGCTGAAATTGTGTCTTAAGTGCTCCATACTCATAATTGTTAGGGGTTCTAGTCGATTATTGCTAACTAAAAAGGTGAGCATTAAAAGACTTAATGTCAAACCTAGGCACTTTTTATACTCTAGGGTTTTATAGTGCAGAGGAAAGTCAGATTGTAGAAAATGAAAATGGACCAAATCATAGTCCAGTAGGGTTTCCCCATAGTATGTATGAGATAGATTACATGTTCATTTACAGTAATTGCATGGGTCTCCTTGGACTATAATGACACTCTTAGCGCTACAATAACAACACGATCTTGAACACTCCCTCCCAAGTTGGTGCATCGATGTCAAGCATGCCCAACTTGGAATTAAGCATGTGCATACGAATCTTTCCTGCAGTTTCGATGAAGATATCAGCTAGCTGATCTGTGGTCTTCATACATGGGGTAAATATGAGCTTACCAATCGCTTTTTCACGAGGAACATGACAATTAACCTGAATACGTTTGGTGTGCCTTGGAAAAATGGATTAGATGCAGTGTGTATTGCTGCCTCGCTTATCACAACAAAGTGGGATTTGTGAGATGATATTGATTGCCATATTTGAGAGAAGTGCTCTACTGTCTACACCAGAAATACTCACAAGTTGTAGAAGCCATTGCATGATACTAACCTCTACACAAGATCAGGCCACATCATGCTTCTCTAGGTTATCAGATTGCCTCCAATAAAGGTGAAATGTATGTGGTAGAATGTCTATCAACAGGACACTTTCCTAGTCAGCACTAGAGTGTCCCAATAAATCAAGTCTTGCACCACGGGAAAACAGAAGTTCTTAACCATGGAGATGACTTGAGATAGCGCAAGATCCTGGTGACAGCATTCATATGTGTAGATTAGGGTACATGTATGAATTGACTAACAATAGCCACATCATGAGTGTTATCAGGTCCAATAATCATTAAATAGACAAGTTTCCCAACAAGTCTCTGATATTGTTCTACATTTTCCAAAGGAGTACTAGAAGTGAGCTTCGACTTACTGTGTGAGTCAATAGGTTTCAATCCCGGCTTCCCAATTTCTTTAAGTATATAGGGAACATTTTTATGTTCAGAAATGAAGTTCTCTCGTCGTGGTTAAACTGCCTCAATACCGAGAAATAGAGGGAGTCAAATCCTTGATGTCAACCTTATGATGCAGGTAGCACTTGAGACTTGCAATACTCTCTCAGTTATCACTTTAAGGACAATGTAATCAACATAAACTAGAAGTATAATAGTACCTTGAGGTCGCCAGTTTGAACAAGTCTTCCAATTGGGGGATTGATGTCTTGAGAATACTATGGAAGTAGAGTTTTCTTTTGAAAAAGGCAAGGGCAGTATGGATATTATGCCTTTTGGTCGGTCTCATTATGAATTGGGTTCTTGAAATATTGTTTGGAGGGACATGGAGGTTATCCTGATAATGATAGGCCCCTTTCTAATGATATTGGGATACCATATGCTGTGAGGGGCATTGATGGAATTTATGAAGCACAGAGAGGGTTCTTTATTGAGAAAAAGGTACTTATTCGGAGGGATTCAGAGGTAATTGAGGACAATGATGGGGTTAGTTGTAATGATTGGGAGGCCATCTAGTGAGGGGCAAACTTGAAATTTATGAAGAGAAGGGGGGTGTTTAATTGAGAAAAATGAACAAGATAAAGCGGATGAGAACATAATGATATTTTTGGGAGCTTATGAAAGACTTTTGGAAGGGAGTCAGAGTCTATAAAGGGATGGCATATAATTCATCATACCCAATCAATGAGGCTCACTGAGTACTTCGAGTCAAGTATGAATACAGTACTAGGGTGCAGCGGGGGAGAGAATAATGTGGCTGGGTTTAAATCATTGTGCTCTATCCCTTGGGAGGAGATACTAATGGTATTTCAGTTTGAGCGGCATGACCATTGTGTAAAAACTTGAGTGAGTCATCATCTTGTTCTGATTTGTTGGCTGTTATGAGGAGAAGAAGAGAAACGATATGATGAGATATCAGACCGTTATAAGAATGAAGAAGGAGATTTCAACATATTTAAGGGGATCTTGCCCAGTTCATGGGTAAAGTTGATTTAGAGGTAGGAATGCAATTGTACAACATCATAGAGAATACTGGAGGCAAGGGTGGGAAGCGAAAAGATTGAGGAACTAGAGAACTAAACGGGGAGGAGGGTTTGGGAGGGAGATATATGAATGGGTAGGAGCATCTAAGGAAGATTTTTCGCATGAAGATATTATTGTGGGACATCTGGGGTTCAAGGTACCAGGAGTAAAAGAGGAATGGGAGGACACCTTTTCAAAAGCATTGGTGAGAGGTGGCTATGTTGTAGGAACCAAAGTTGGGGCTGTTGATAGGGTGTTGGTGAGGGTGTTATAGGGTTCATCAAAAGTGGGATTGGATTTGGTTCTATCTCGGGGGGGCACTGGGGTATCTTGATGTTATGGGATTCACAAGTTTTGACTAAGGAAGGGGAATTGTCGTTATCTATAAAAATTTCAAGTGTGATAGATGGATTGGTATGGTTCTCATGTCCGTATATGGTCCTAATGATTTTGGTGAGAGAGGTCTTGGGCAGAATTGTATGGAGTAAGCCAAGGTGGGATCAGCCATTGTTACCTAGTAAGGGCTTCAATGTCATTTGTTTTCACATGAAAGGTGGGACGAGGTGTAGAATCATAACTAGTGTGAGGTGCTTTTCAGATTTGGTGAGTTGCCATGGGTTTAGTGGATGTGCTTTTGCAAGGGGCACACTTTACATGGTCCACTGGGGTGAATCCAGCCATGTCTAGATTGGATTGGATCAGTTTCTACTTTTAAGTGGGTGGGGCACAAAAACTTTTCTATAATACTTATGTAGCTACCCTAAAACAGACTCTGATCATGTTCCCATTTTACTGGATGCTTGGTCCTTGTCTTTTGGACTTGCATCATTCAGGTTCAAGAATTTGTGGTTGGAAGCATGGGAATTTCAAGACATGGTCAGAATTTAGTGAGAGTCCTCTTATGTGGTTGGATGGGCTGCTCTTCAATCATCTAATAAACCAGGGAGTTTGAAAGAGATGTTGAAGGAATGGATCCGGTGATAGGAAGAAGACTGCTTTGCTGGAGTTGCAAGTCCTGGACCAAAAGGAAGAGGTCCAAGGGCTTGCTGAAAGGCAAATTGTGGATAGGGCTTGTAGTTTGTTAGATTATCAGATTTTGCTAAAGCAAGAGGAGATTCATTGGCATCAACAGTGTAGAATTAGATGGTTGGAAGGAGATCAAAATATCCCCCATCTTTCTACATCTGTTAGGAAGCAGGCTTAGTGTATTTCCTCCATTGAGGTGTGTGAGGAAGTGTTTCAGGAGCAAAATGGGGCGAATGTGGATTGCGGACTTCTTTAAGAGACTTCTCTTAGGATAGTTATTCTCAAAACCAAGGTCGTCGATGACTTGCAGTTTGAGATAATTTGGGCTATCTTATTTGGGCTATCTTGGAGATAAGTGGGCAATGAGTATATATGGTTTGGGTATGTATCTTATGCATTTCAATTGTCCTACTAAAATATTTCCTTGTGCACCAGTTATAGAAGTGGTCCATTAAGTCATAGCGATGTCCTTCAAATAGTTGGACTGAGTAACTGAAGCCCCTTGCTATGTCGATCAATTAGGCAGGGGCTATCCATGGAATCTGAATAAGTGAGCCATCAGGCATGCTGCACCACCCTTTTACCCACAAGGCATAGCATTAAGCTTGAAGCTTTATGGAGAACCATTCTAAAATTAGTTGTTTTCCCAGAAGTTGTCTGAATGGTTAGGTTGAAGGCTCTATGCACATCTATTAAACAATTATGTTAAAATTTACTGGTTAATAGAACTTTTGAGTTGGTTTGGCGTCCTTGTTTGTTAGTTTTTGATGTTTCCTCTTATTTATTTCTTCCAATGCCATGCATAAATTGTGAGAGGGACATGTCTTGCCCAAATGCATTAAGTATTGCCATTTGTTGATTTGAGGAATTCTAATGCATGATTGTGTGCTTTGACCAACTGTTATCAATTATTTTGGGTGAATTAGTTCTTATGGTTACGATGAACTGAAGCCAAGCTATTCTTGTGTAAACCCTCTTTCTTATTTTATCATGGGAAAAATAGTAGTACTATTTGATATTTTTCTGATTCTAATAATTAAATTATCTTTTATTATTTATATTCTTAAATAGTTTCTTTAGGTACCAAGATTGTGAGATGTTATGACATTAGAACATGTCTTAGTAACAAAAGTTTGTGTGACTGCAGGTTCATTGAATGCCTACGATAAAAGTACTGAATCGGTTACAGTTGTTGGTGGGGTGCCCCCTGGGCTCACTGGCCTTACTGTGGACAAGTCGTTAGAGTTCTCTTATGAGGAGCTTGCTTCAGCTACAAATGGGTTCAGCATGGCTAATAAAATTGGTGAAGGTGGCTTTGGGTCTGTTTATTATGCGGAGCTTAGAGGAGAGGTCTGTACATCATCCTATTATAATTTTCAGTACCTTTTGTATGAACTATGTATAGTCTTTGTGTGAGTGTCTAAGGAACGAAAATACATACAAGGGAGTACAATGTATACAAAGACTGATCAATACAACTTCGAAATTTCAACAATACACTTGTATTGCGTACAGCAAGGTTGCTGCTACCACAGTGACATAATGGCTTCAAAATACACTTTAAAAGAGAGGATACAATGCTATTTAGGTCCCTTATATATCAACAAGTCTATCCACAAAGATAGAACACAAGACTACACATGATTGGTGTGCATTTTGAAAATTCAACAACACTCAATCTTATAATGCAAAATTATACATCAATTGGCACATGAAAATACATCAAATCAAGATCTCAATTACATAAACATGTGATTGCTCAAGTGTAGTGTGTATCAAGACCATGGGAAGCCATATGGAGCTCTCGGGTGCCTGTTTGGCGCTTAGCTATGTGCCAATGGGTGACATGCGATGACATCATTCAAATTCCTGGCCAATTCATTATTTAAGAATGGGAAGCCTAGCATCTACTGATATATACATCAATCATGGAAGGTTTTTGCAGAAATTTAAAGATCTTGCAAGTGGAAAAATAACGGAGTGATCCGAGGCTTTAGAACACAAAACCGGATCTAGTTTCTTCGCAAAATGTCACTTAGAAATTCGGCATAATCTCGCTTAGAAAATCAGACAATTTAAGGTAGTAATGAGGTGATCTAAGTAACTGATGTGAGTTCGAAAACTCAGAAAAATCAGTCAATAAAAGGTTCGAAAATTCAATTAGGAATGCTCAAAGAAAACTAGCTCAATTCACACATGGAGGAAGCATATTTGAACATGGATTAAGTGAGAACAAAAGGAGAATCAAATGATGATCAACAAAAGAGATTGTAATGCTGCTGTAATTGCAGAATTACAACAGAGAGTAAATGATCTAAATGGTCGAGAATGAAAAGCCTTACTCAATTAATGAAGGTCACTTGACTTGTTGATCCATGGAATGAGCTATGAACCTTCGATCACCATTAATGGAGTTCGAATTCTCCTTAAAGGGGTCTGCTCTCTTTCAAAGGTTAAAGATGAAGTTTAGAGAGAGAGAGAGAGCTTAGGCATGCCAAATTTGAGAGAGGAGAGAGAGTGGGACGTGCCACTTTGTAGGGAAGGTTTTAGTGAGAGAAATTCATGGGTAAAAATGATCTCAAGGGGGGTATTTATAGCCTTTCCAAAGAACATGGGATGATATGCTCCTAGATGATGAATCAAGGCCTTCTATGTCATCTACCAAAGGCTACAAAGAGAGGTATGATCCTAGCCCACCATCCACCATCAACCATCTTAATGTGTGGCATGGATTTAAGAACCTTATCCTCCCTTTAATTCACTCCAATTTCCGTTGTTATCAAAATGTCTATGCTCTAGATATTTTATTAAACAATAAAACCATGATGGAGGGTATGCCCTTATGGTCTTTTGACAAAAATCCCAACAAAAAGAAGATTTCAAAATTCCCTACATTTTTCATGAGCATGTGGGATCAATAAGAACATGCCACATAAGGCAAGTGGTTATGTGCACAATGACCATGTGCCCTTAGGGTTAGAATTAATATTTCAAACCCTATACCACTTCTAGAATGTCACATACATGTGCACAAATCAACTTGCTTTAGGCATGTAACATGTGCCAAAAAACAATTTTTCAAAATCCACCATTTAATGAAAAATTAAAATACATGGTAAAACAATAAAACAACTTTAAATAAAATGACAAGGGGGTCCCCCATGGGCTTGACATCACCCCCACGTCATCTCCACGTGGGGGAGCATGGGGCCCCATGGGGTTGGCATGTGGACACCCATTGGCCATTTGAGCGTCCCGTGTGGGTCCTGGGGGACTGCCCTTGATTGTCATTTTATTCAAACAAATTTGAAAAAAGGTTTTTTCTTGCTCAAAAAAATCCACAAAAATTCCCATAAATCCACAAAAATAATTTTAAATTATTTTTCATCAAAACAAATCATTTGATAATGATTAAAAACATTTACACGAGAAATTATGATCCTTGGAAATGAATTACAAAACGGAGTACTCCACTTGGTTAGACCCGGAATCCAAAGTCACTTTCTCAGAAATGACCCAACACACTCATGACCCACAATGTTAAATCAGGGACCGAAGATGTTAGTCTATCAAAGTCAAGTCGATGTGTGATTCTAAATCCCCAAGGTTACATGGATTTCAGGTGCACCCCCTAGAGGACATGCACACAAAACAAAGTGCGGGGGTTCCTCTCTTGGCACATGTGCATAGCTCTATCCAGTGGATTCGTGGAAGAGTAGGCTTCACATGAATTGCGACTATATATGCACATGCGACGAGAAGGTTCTAAGAGTCAGGGATTTAGGCCAATGCCTTCTGCTGGGCAACCTTCCCATACAGGACTTTCAGTCATCAAGCTCATACGAACATCATATTGTCCTGGCCTATCACATAGTTATGAGGCACATATTAAACATATCATAACAACCTACCCTGACTTAGAGGTAACTCTTAACTCTCTCTGTACCTTCTATAGACCAATCTTCCTCATGACCGAATCGGAGTTTCGTGACTCTTGGTCCCAATGTGCCAAGATCCTAGAATCATGTCACTCTTATACTCCCACTCAAGTAAAGAGCTAATGAAAATGAAAGAATTTAGGGCCTTGAATGGACATACTTCCAACACTTTGTGAAGTTAATAAATTTGCTACTTATTGATGTGGTTTCTCATTTAGATAGTCATGTGGTTTCTCATTTAGATAGTCAAAGGATGTAATGGATGTATGTCCTCAGTACTAAAGCTGTGAAGCAAGATGCCTCAATATTTCAGCTTTCATATTACAACAATTTTTGAGTTAGATTACCATGCAATATATTGACTAGTGTGGCACTAGATTAACATAGACATAATTTCAATCTTGATGGAAATGGTTCTCTGCTGAAAATTTCCTATTTCCTATTTTCTGTTGTATCTTCAATGGAGACTGCTTAATTTCCCAGAAATACCCAATTATGAGGCTTATCTGAATTGAAAGTGTTCCCAGTACTAAAGCTGTGAAGCAAGATGCCTCAATATTTCAGCTTTCATATTGCAACAGGTTTTGAGTTAGATTACCATGCAATATATTGACAAGTGTGACGCTAGATTACAGAGACGTAATTTCAATCTTGATGGAAATGGTTCTCTGCTGACAATTTTGCTATTTCCCATTTTCTGTTGTATCTTCAATGGAGACTGTAATTTCCCAGAAATACCCAATTCTAAGGCTTATCTGAATTGGTTTCAATGACCAGTCTATTGTAGACCTCAATGGTGATTGCGGTTAACTCATTCGACATAAGAATGTGAAAGAATTCGAGTACTGACGGGTGGACTTTCAGCAATCAGAAGTCATAACCCATACTAGGACAGATAAATGTGTTTCTTGTGGAAGAGTTGCGGATCTGTTGAACTATGCAGACCTTTCATTGACACTCATGGTTCTGTAAAGCGAGACAACTGTTCTCTTAAGTAATAAAGATTATGTTCAGTGTCTCTGTCCATGTTGATGTATGATTCTACAAATCTTGTATCTTCTCCCTTTCCTTTTGTGGCCTACTGGACAATGAATACAATCAAGATAGTCACCATCTTACTATTTCCCATTCTATGCTTGGGTGCGTGTCTCCTTGGCATGTGGGAAACTGCACCTGAAGTGTTTAACTGTTTCCCAACATTGTAGGTGTCTGATCTTTGTCACCTATGTCAAATGTTGCTTATACATCAGAGACACAAGCCATTAATTTGATTCTTTGTGCGAGATGGGGACAGATGAATAACATAGTAGTTGCTTGGGTTAGGTTATGGATTCTCTAGAGTCTAGACCAATCTGATTGTAACTGGAGCAATTCCTATGCTACTTGCTCTGAAAAATTAAGGTGTGATCTTCCACTTGCTTGTTCAGATGTCCTTAAACAAGATGAGTTATAATAATGCTAATAACATGTAACGGTTGCACCACTGTCACTCAACACATAAAAAGTAATTAAAGAGGTGTAATCTCCACACTTGGTCATGGATCACCTGAGCTGCTGCCTTCTCTCCCTCTATCTTTCATTAAAACATTTTGCCTTGGTTTATGATATAAATTATGAAGGTTGCACCACCACTGTACTTTGGATATAGTGTTTTTGAAATCCTTTCTGATTTTCACTTAATGTTTACTGATTTTTCTTAATGTTTAAACCAAAATCGATGAAGAAAAACATAAAAGTTACGTGCATACCCTAATTTCAGTATGTGACATGAAGATAATGTTTATTGAATTAGATATTTATGGATATCGATCTGAATATCATGCATTTGTTTCTTCTACAAAATCAGAAATTTTTAAGTTAATTACCATGAATTTCTTTATGAATAATGAATATGCAAAATTATAGATCCTTGAATGTAAAAAGTCATGGAAAAATGTGTTACGATAGCCAGTCCTTTTGTGGGAGTGATCAATCTGCGCATAGAACTTTATGAATGTGTGTGTGTGTGTGTGGGTGTGTGTGTGTGGGTGGGTGGGTGGGTGGGTGAATGCTTGTGGTCCTCCTAGAATAGCCTTCATCAGTCATATATTAGATAATCACAGCGATGCACTTTCTATATGGAATGTAGATCCTATAGTCTCTCTAGGATTTGGAAGTTCCGCATGGAGGTAATTTTTGAAGGTCAGACTTGTTTCGTGTCTTGGAAAGACTTTGCGAAGTACGCCATTACATTGTTTATACTGTTCCATTACTGACTAGATCACCATTCAAAACTAAATTATCCTTATGGTGGGCCAATGCCTCCCTTTTTCTTCTTTATAGTCTGGATTCTATTGAATGATAGTTCTCTTGATGTTCAATGTATGAATCAGCCTCCATAGAAATTGCAATTTCTTGATATGTTACTAATGTGCAGAGAGCAGCGATTAAAAAGATGGATATGCAAGCATCTAGAGAGTTTCTTGCTGAATTGAAGGTTTTGACCCGTGTTCATCACTTGAACCTGGTAAATAGCCCTTCCGACTCATGTGCATTATTTTTTCATATTGTCTATTTAACCTATATTTCTAATCTTGTTGAATGAGATTTACTTATTTGGATATTTGTTTTTCCTAAGACAGTTTTTGTATTTCATGGAAAACATGTGAAATGGAAAGGCCTTACTTCTTAAGAAGGGTATATGTGTAGGCAACTGCAGTATGATTATTGTATAGGTGCTAGTCTGTGAAGGATCTCTGTGGACTCTTTTCAGATTGTTTATATATGCAATCATCGTGCACTTATTTTTGCCAATGTATCTTTGTTTGGATCTCATGTTGAGTTTGGTTGTCTAAACTGGAAAAAGGTCGGCGACTATGGTCTGTATTCCTGACGCGGAAATCTCATTGTTATGAAAAGACAATGTTTGAATGTGCCACAAAATATCCACAAGAATCTAACTTCAAATTCAGTGTCATAATGAGCAAACAAATCAGATTCTGTTTGTTAAAAATAAGCATCTAGACTTACTGAGAATCCTATATTGACAGCAGCGATAAAGTTGCTACTAATAATAGTGAAACTTATTTTGGACTGTAGATTGTAACCTTAGTCCGTAAACGTTTTTGATGGATATCCATTTACCATCTTGAAGGAGGGGAGAAGCTTGATACACATTACGATAGTGATATGGTAACATTGTTAAGGGCACTTTGATACTACCAGTAGTTTCTGCTCAGTATTTTCCCCTCATTTAATCTTTTCTAATGTATGGGATTCTAGTCATTTCCCCTCTTTGGTTCTTATGATCCCAGGCAAATAATGTCATTCAGTTATCTCAAAATATTTTTTTCATGTAAAATAATCCGGTTTTTTGCCTGGTATTCTAGCGGGGATTTGTGTAGGTACACTGCCTGTTTTCTTAACTTTATGAAAACATATAATAGATGGGGAGCAAGACGTTGTGTTATGTATCATTTATGATGCACCTCACTTCAAGTCCCTCTCTATGACTTTATATACACAATGACCTCATCACATTTTCTCGATCTCACTCACTGTCAAGTCCACTGGAATTTTGTGTTTCCCATAATTTATATATTTTATGGCTTTCATCAAATAGCTGGGATAAGGCTCGGATGATGATATGATGATATGATTTTAATGCTTTCATTCCTTAGTGGATTATCTTTGTTTTTGGGACATTATTTCGAATTTTCCATATCGTCTCCATTAGTACCCCCTGAACGGTGTGATGATGATTTTCTTTTGCCCATATGTTTCTTACTTGCAATGGGACCCAAATTGTTGTTGGGGAGAGAAGCATTTTGAAGCTTGTTGTCAAACTTCTTTTGGAACCAAATTGCTAGGAGGCTTTGGATTTTTCAGCAGGCTATCACTTTGGTGTTGAATCTGTTGGAGTTGTGGCCTTTCAAGGCCTTGAACTCCAGCATCTTATTGAAAGTGATAGTGTCTAGGAAGCTCTCTGTATAACACTTGAACTTGATACTCAACTTAAAATTTTACAAGCAACAATTTCATGCGCAAGATTCCATAACTCTTACTCACTGTTACAGCCACAAATTTTAACTTACAAAGACTCAAATATCACTGAAAAATGAAAGAATTACAACTCATTAGTCTATCTTGACCCATATAGTTAAGGGCTTCATCCATGCATATTTTGACTTAGTTTCCATGAACTTTTTTGCTTGAATTTTAGAGTAATTTTGGTTAATATTTCTCTGAGATTTTCATGATCATATCAGTCACTTAGATCTTCTTTTTGACCCCTTGAATTGTTGGTTTTATAAGAGGAGACTTTACCAAAATTTTGTGAACCTGTGAACTCAATTGAACCGGTTGTGTTTTAAGAGCCCGGTTTTCTGCCACGATTTTCTCATTTGATTTGATCTTTAGATCTTTGCAAATCCTGCCATGTTGTAAGCGTGTATCAGTAGATGCTTGACTTCCCACTTGTCAGATAATGAATTGGCCCGATTTTGAGGTATGCCATCTCATGTCATCCAATGGCACATAGCTAAAACCCAAGGTCGTAAACCAGGCACCAGGGAGTTCTGATTGGCTTCCCATGGTCATGATGCATTGCACACTTGAGCATATGTATGTTGATGTAATGGAGTTCATGTTGTGATGAGTTTTTATAAGTTCATTGATGTATAATGTTTTTCGTAAGTTTGAGTAGTGCTGAATTTTCAAATACACACTATAGTTTTATGATCTCTTTTTGTGGCTTGTTTTGTTCATGTGTAAGGGACCTTTATTGAGTTGTATCCTCTCTTTTGAGTGTTTTTAGAAGTCAATAGCTCACTGTAGTTACAATGACCTTGCTATAATTTGTTTTTGCAAGTTGTATCCTCAAGTGTATTTGAAAATTTAAAGGTATATTGGCTTGTATTTTGTCTACATTGTAGTCCAAGTTAACAAAATTGGTTTCTATACACTCACAACACGTACTATGAGATGTATAGGTTTTAATTGGCCTCTTTATCTTTTCAACATGTGCCGACACACGACACAGCAAAAGTAGGCTTGTCTATGCAACACTGGTTACAACATGCATGGTTTCTGATTCGTCTCTTTATCTTAGACATGTCAATGAAACTTCTGTATTGCCTATGATTTTCTTGCCCTAGCGGATATCTTGGTTTTATCAAAATCACCTAATTGTTTTCTTAACAACCTGATGTAGGTTCGCTTGATAGGATTCTGCACTGAGACTTGTCTTTTTCTTGTTTATGAGTTCATTGAAAATGGAAATATAAGTCAACATCTACGGGGATCAGGTGAGGACTTCTCCGAACAGGTCGACTGGTCAATTTTCTTAATCCAACACTCATTGTAAGTTCAAAACAGTGATTTTGTAACTATAAGCTGTTGTAATTGTCTTTGTTGTTATTACTGGACTTCATTTGCAGACGGAAGAGAGCCACTGCCATGGTCAGCCAGATTGCAAATTGCACTAGACTCAGCAAGAGGTCTCGAATATATTCACGAACACACTGTACCTGTATATATCCATCGAGATATCAAATCAGCCAACATATTAATTGACAAAAACTTTCGTGGGAAGGTATTTATAAGACTGAAATAAGATCTCTTTGATTCCTTGATGTTGTCATAATGTTATCTCCCTTGCAGGTTGCTGATTTTGGATTAACGAAACTAACTGAAGTTGGAAGTTCCTCACTTCCAACACGCCTTGTGGGCACCTTTGGATATATGCCTCCTGAGTAAGATACAAAGTACTCTATTTTTGATAGGTTTCTCTTGAATTATTTAATGGGTTATGATTGCTTACCACTTAGTTGTCAACCTCTAGTGGGAGGGGTATGAACTTGTGCTTCCGTGGGATTTTTGCATGCAGACACACTGCCTTTATGCCTGTTCACTATGGATAAAAGCAGAGACTTCTATCCTAGGGATGTTTTTAAGGCATTTGTGCTCCTGCAGATTTTTTTGCATTCATACCATGCCTGTCTACTTATACCTGTTAAGTATGGAGAAATGCGTAGACATACATCCTATGTACTCTTTAGACATTTGTATGATTTGCATTTATCAGCCTTTTCACTTTTGTTTATGGATTGGTTACCTTTGATTGTAATTGTTAGATAACTAGATTTTAGGATGTTTTAAATTCTTCACTGTGCTGTTTGGGTCTGTTTGACAAATAAAATTTGAAAATTATAAAATTTCATAAAGCTCTAAAGGTTTTGCTGATTTTTCTTATCTTGTGATTCTATATTATCATATTGTTGGTTTGTTTGTGTCTATTTGACTTAGTATATTTCATCATTTGAAGGAGAACAAAAGATTTGTGATTGTTTGCTTACCAAATTTAAATCTATTGACTACTATAGACACCCAACTTTTGAGCAAGAATTTTAGAACCTAACTGACCAAAAACCTCGTCCCCAAACAATAGGAAATCTCAAAATCTTTCCAACAGTCCAAGGAGTACCTCAATCCGACCTATGGTTGAGGAGATATGGTTGATTTTTTGAATAAATCCCAAAATTCCATTCTAGTCCCTAGCATACTTAATATATGCACTCATATTGCTTCATCGTGTTAAAATCCTTTGTTATGTAAGTTTTGGACCTAAGTGTCCTAATTATATTTGTATAAGTAATTTTGTCCATATCATAGATTTTAATAAAATATAAGGCTGAGAGGTTCATGAGGGTGGGTTGAACCTCATGGCTTTCTCTTTCCTCTCATATTTCTCATATCTCTCTTCTCTTCTTCTTCTCTTTCTTTTTCTCTTTTCTCTCTATATTCTTTGACATGTTATCAGAGTTGATCATTTACTTTTATAGAATCTTTTCTTTCTTGATTTCTTTATCTTTTCCTTTCCTTTCATCTTCTCCTTTCCTTTCATCTTCTTTTTTTTAGCCCTTCCCTTAATTAGCAAAAAAAGAAACAGCGAGAGAAATCGTGATCGTCCCTTTTCTTCCTTTTTTTTAATCCTAAAACTACCATAATTCGGGTCGGGAAGACCCGACTAACAGATACCCCGGTTTGTGAGAGCCCAGGACCGAAGACTGCTCTCTCGGGAACCACAGAGCGCGTGGGCAGTACGCGTGCTGGAAGCGGGTAGGGTACCAACTAATGAGAGAGGAATTATGGTGTGAGGCGGGACTTTACCTCACCTTGGGTCGGTGACGCGCTGGGGCTGCTCGCATGGGTGCCCTCTTAAATCACGATGGACAGCCCCCTAGGCCTGAGGCCGGTTCGGCGTCGACTCCCTTGACTGTTTTTTGAGTTTCTACAACCACACACACGTGAGATGTCTAGACAAGCGGGTCATGAGACCTTGACTTGTCGTTGGGTGAGTATATTTTACAAAGGAAAAAAAAGGGGATGGTGTTGCATAGTCCGTGTTAATCCAACAGCGTCACAGCGTCTTCTCAACAAAGGACTCATGGTATTCTTAAGAGAGAGGAAAAAAGGGAGGTGAGAGGGCAGACAATGAGTGGAGGAAGAATCAAAGAGAGGGAAGAGGGAGAGAGATGAGAACCCAAAATGGAGAGAGGGAAGCAAGGAGAGAGAGAAGAGCTAAGAAAGAGGAGAGGGAAAGAGAGGAGAAAAGATGAGAAGAGGGAGAGAGGGGTCGAGAAGAGAGAGAGTGTGAGAAGAATGAAAGAGAGCGAGAGGAGAGACAGAAAGAAGAGATAAGAAAAGAGAGAACAGAGAGAAAAGAAGAAGAGGGAGAAGAGAGAGAGAAAGTTAAGGGAAGGGAAGCAAGACAACGACTTAGGCCGCCGCCTAATAGTGTCTGCCTTAAGGACGCTTAGGTGTTTTTTCCAAAATGCCGCCTTGGCAGTCAGGCGGATGACTTTTTTGATCATTGATTATGCCTACTACTTCCCTTTCTCCGTCGTCTTTATTATACGTCCTAAAGTTTCCCTTTAGTTTTCAAATGAGACCAGCTTTGTTTTATTGGGCAGAATGTTAGGCAGTCAAGGAACAACATACCCATAGAATGAGTGTAGCTGAGATAAGGATGTTGAGATGGATGAGTGGCATGACAAGAAGGGATGGAATTACAAATGAATACATTCGGGAGAATTTAGGTGTGGAACCAATAGGCAATAAGATGAGAGAAAATAGACTTAGGTGGGCTGGTCATGTGTAGCGCAGACCCAGTACAATATCTATTAGGAGGTACAAGTTAGTTCAAGTGGAAGGCTCAAAAAGGACAAGGGGTAGGTTCAAAAGGACATGGTTGGAAGTAGTGAGAAAAGATATGACCCCAATTAGTTGGGAAAAGGCTTCGATGACCTTTCAGGATATAAAGACAAAGTGGACGATTGGTGGTTGGTATCAGTCAGGCGGCTTGTACTACTTGCATCATAACCTCATTGCTGATGCTCATCACTCTACTGATTCTCCTTACTTATGGCATTGTTAACTGGGTCATCCTTCTCTCAAGACTAATAGGTTTCATGTTGAGTCAATTTGAACTTGCTCGATTTGTTCAATTGTGGCCTGAACTTGAAGTTGTTCGTCCCTTCTTTAGAGTCTGTGTTTGCTTTAGAGTGTGAAACTTGTCAGTTGGGAAAACATCATAGGGTGTCATTTTGTCCTAAAGTCGACATACGGAGACGTTCCATTTACTATGGTTCATTATGGTATATGGGGTCCAACTAGAGTACAAAGTTTGTATGGTCATAAGTGTTTTGTAACTTCCATGGATGTTTATACATGAATGACATGGTTATATTTAAGAATGGGGTTTCAATGAGTCGGCCGACTCATATGTAGGTTTGCAGCCCCCCACTAAAATTCATTCTAGATGATTTTTTTTCCAGTTTTTTTTTTGTAGATTCCTCATCTAGGCCAAGATGATCATAAATATGAAAAGAAAAATAAACTTCTAAAATTAAAAATATAATTTTTTCAATATTTTTATGCATCGTCCACATCTTATTTATGGACAATACACTTTAGATAACGTCCATCTTTAGGTTGGACGTTTGCAAGTCAACGGGCTTTTGCGCTTGCTGACTCATGAAACAATTTTCCTATATATAATAAAAGAAAGATCTTTGATTTTCTTCATTTTTAAATTGTTTTACAAGGAGATCCATACTCAATTCAATAAGAATGTGTGTATTTTGTGTTCTGATATTCCTAAAGAGTATATTTCTAAAGAATTCCATAATTATTTTACTGAACATGGAAATTTGCACCAAACTTCTTGTGTGCGTAGTCCTCAATAGAATGGAGTTGCTGAAAGAAAAAATCAATACTTACTTGAAGTAGCTTGTTCTCTGCTTATTAATATGCATGTTCAAAAGGTTTATTGGGGAGATGCCTTATTGACCGCATGCTATTTAATTAATCGTATGCCTTCTTCAGTCTTAAATTGAAAAGCACCTCACTGGGTTCTCATTCCTTATACTCTACTGTTCATTGTTCCTCCTCGAGTTTTTGGGTGTGTTTGCTCTGTTCCTATGTTATGTATTGGTAATGATAAGCTAGATCCCCGGGTGTCACGTGTATCTTTTTCAGGTATTCATATTTCCAAAAAGGTCAGTTATCATCTTGGTTTACATAAGAAATTTGTTTGTGCTGATGTTACCTTTTTTGAAAATACTCCATACTTTTCAAAAGAGAGTTTCCATGTTCCTCTTTCTATTCCTGTTCAAGAGCAGCCCATAAAGGTTTACACCAGAAGAAAAATTCAGGTTGGATATCCCCCACCAACTCAACCGGCCTTTCAATCATCATCTTCGTCTGCTGCTCCACGTCCTTCTTGTGATAATGATTATCTTTTGCCATTCGTAAAGGTAATAGATCTTGTACTCATTATCCAACTGCATATTTTATTACCTCCACAAATTTGTCTCTATCATATCAAAATTTTGCTTTAGCCCTTTCATCTGTTTATGTTCCTAAGACCTTCTAGGAGGAACGTTCTCATCTTGGGTGGAAGAGAGCAATGGAAGAGGCGATGGATGCCCTTCATTCAAATGGTACAAGGGAACCAAACGGGTTACCAGCTGGAAAAGGATTGCTGGGTGTTGATGGGTTTATGCAGTGAAATATCCACCGGACAACACTGTAGAAAGATTAAAGGCCAGATTGGTAGCCAAGGGATATACACAAATATTTGGCATTGACTACTAATGAAACATTCGCTCCTGTTGCTAAACTTAATTTAGTTCGAGTGGTTACATTTGTGGCCGCCAACAAAGGATGGCTGTTGTGGCAACTTGATGTTAAAAATACTTTCGTCCATGGTGATTTACAAGAAGAGGTGTACATGGAGAGTCTGATAAATTGTGTAAGTTGAAGAAAGCCATTTATGGCCTGAAACAGTCTCCAAGGGCATGGTTTGAAAAGTTCAATGAAATTGTTATAGCATATGGATTTCGGTGCAGTCATGCAATTCATTCTGTATTTATATGGAAACAAGACTTCAGAATAATATTTTTAGTTGTTTATGTTGATGGTATTGTTGTTATAGGCAATGAGCAACAAGGAACCAGTCATTTGAAGAGACATCTAAAACAATATGTTTAGATTAAAGATTTGGGCCAGCGACGGTATTTTCTAGGAAATGAAGTAGCCAGATCAAAGTATGGCATTAGTTTGTTTCAAATAAAATATGATCGATTTGTTGAAAGAAACTGGAATGTTGGGTGCTAGACCAGTGGATACTCCACTGGATTCAAATGTGAAATTATTGGCTGATGAAGGGAAGTTGTTTGAGGATCCAGGAATGTACAGAGGGCTGGTTGACAAGCTGATTTATCTAACCTTAACCAGGCATGATATTGCTTTTGCAGTAAGTGTTGTGAGTCGATTTATGCATGATCGGAGGATTCCTCACTGGGATGATGTTTGTAGAATTTTAAGGTATCTGAAGGGAGCTCTAGGTCGAGATCTGATTTACAAGCCAAATAATCATTTGGCTATTGAAGATTACTCAGATTTTGATTGGGCAGGACCACCATCTGACAAGCGGTCTACCACATGTTATTGCACATTCATTGGTAGAAACTTGGTAACATGGAGAAGTAAGAAGCAAAATGTTGCGGCATCATCTAGTGCCAAGGCTGAATATCTAGCAATGGTACACACTCTATCTAAATTGATGTAGCTGAAAACACTGATGCAGGAGATGGGCTATGCTGTTATGAACGTATGAAGATTTATTGCGATAACAAAGCTAGCACCTATATAGCCAGTAAACCAGTGTTTCATGAAAGGACCAAGCATATTGAAGTAGACTGTTATTTTATCCAAGAGAGTTTTTTGTATGCAGGTGTCTACTTTATATGTGAAATCTAAGGATCAGCTAGCAGACATTTTCACTAAAGGCCGTGGTCATAACATGTTCCAAACAATTTGTTCGAAGCTGCGCATGGGCGACATTTATGCTTCTTCTTGAGGAGTGTTAAACATCCTTTGTTCTCTAAATTTTGGACCTAAGTGTCCTAATTATAGTTGTATGATAGCAGTTTTGTCCATATTATAAATTTTAATAAAATATAACGCTAAGAGGTGCATGAGGGTGGGTTGAACCTCACATCTTTTTCTTTCCTCTCATGTTTTTCATATTTTTCTCTTCTCTCTTCTCTCTTCTTCTTCTCTTCCTTTTCTCTTTCTCTGTATATTCTCTGATACACTGTATGTACAAGTACATGGGGCTACTTTGTGAATAGTATGCGCACATAGATTATAACATGTCGTGTCATGGTGCATAATATGAACAATATGCACATATGACCACTACACAGATATGACCATTCTTCATATGGACTATGAAATTTACTAGGCTTGTCCTCAGTCAAGTATTTCCGTTTCCCCCTTGCACCAAGGGATACATTTACAGATTCAGCCCATACAATATAATTAGACTTCAGGAAGACCAAGGATTCCAGGTTTAATTTCCTTATCCCTATTTATATAAAATAAAGGGAAAGAGTACAATCAGGATTGTAAATTTCAGTCACTTATACAAGCCTAGTACAATGTTGGAAACCACATAAAGAGGAGAGAGATGCTTATCATTCAGATCTGGTCATGTTCTCACACTTGAATGAATTAGGGCAACACCATGTTAAACACATCTGAGCATCACAATGTTGCTATCATTGAAACTAGGTCACAACCTCTCTGTAGATCTTGATCTCGAAAGGGAAAACACACACACAGCAGCATTGCCACACTAACAGAAGATCCGCATGACATTCTGCACACGCAACCCTTAGAAACAAACCTAGGGTTTTAGATCGAACAATCCTAAGGGGCCTCTTGACAAGACCAACATCAATGGGGTTTGGGTTTACATTTTTTTTTCCTTTCTTTTTTTTCGTCTTCTTTTTTCTTTTTGTTGAAAGGAAAGGGGAAGATGAAAGTTTAGGGTTTAAGGAAAGGGGAAGATGAACAGAAAAGGGAAATGAAAGTTTAGGGTTTAGAGAAAGGGGAAGATGAGAGTCTGGGGTTTAGAGAAAGGGGAAGATGAACAAAAAGGGGAAGATGAAAGTTTTGGGTTTAGAGAAATGGGAAGATGAACAGAAAGGGGAATATGAAATTTTAGGGTTAAGAGAAAGGGGAAGCTGAAAGATCAGATGTGCTCTGATACCCTTTCAGAGAATCTAGAGAGAAAAAAGAGAAAAGAGAAAAAGAGAAGAGAGAAGAGAGAAGAGAGAAGAGAGAGAGAGAGAGATATGAAAGGCGTGTGGGAGAGAATAGGGTGACATGAGGTTCAAAACTAACCCCTCACGCACCTCTTAAACTGCTTATATTATTAAAAAAATATGAAAGAGCATAACTTCTTATACCAGATATGAAAAGACACTTGGGTCCTAAAACTAAGATAAAAGGGCTTTTAACACATTTAATTGTTTGAAATTTCCCATACTTGGATCTCATAAAGCATGCTGAGGCATCATCAAACACTCTGTAGTTTGGGTTCATTCGATAGGGTTCCTGGGTGTGGCTCTTGTATCTGCCAAACAATTCACTTCTCAATTATTTAGTCTGCCGAAAAACAGTGCAATGGGCATCTCCATGGCCGTATTGCACTAGGTTGGTTCCTATCTGGTGTTCTCAAGTAAGTACACTCGTTGCAGTCGGTATTCTCAACAAGTATTGAGATTTGTTATTTTTCATCTAATTCCTGATTATCTAAATCGATTCAAGTTTTTCTTTTTTCTTTTTTTCTTTCTTCATTAGGATTGTTAGTAGTAAAGTGTTAACTTTATCCGAAGTTGTTAAGCCTATGGCTTTGTATCTCATATTTGAACGCAAGGCTTATTTTTGGTAAAACCCCTTTTTTGCAGATCCCATGGCTAGAGTGTGGAGGCATCAAGCCATTTCTGGCCTCTTTTTCTTTGTAACATTTTTAGACATTAGATTCTGACACACATTGCACAAAACAACGCTGGCAACACATTCAATCTTTACCTAACCTTACAATAACTTCTGCTTCCTCTCCTGATTGAAGATCATTACACCCTCCTCTCTCTCTCTCTCTCTCTCTCTCTCTCTCTCTCTCTCTCTCTCTCTCTCTCTCTCTCTCTACTCTACTACTACTACTACTCTCTACTACTCTCTCTCTCTCTCTACTACTACTCTCTACTACTCTACTACTACTACTCTCTCTCTACTACTACTACTCTCTAC